TGAAGAGCAAAGATGGCTCCTTGGGGACTAAGGTGCCCCCCACACAAGCCATGGTATTTTCAGTCGCCTCATATGCATGTGAGAGCTAGACAATGAAGAAGGAAACCAAAGAGGAGTTGGTGCTTCTGAGTTGTGGTGCTGACTACGAATGCTAAAAGTACCGTGGACTGCTAAAAGAACTAACAAATCTGTCCTGGAAGTGCAGCTGGAATGCTCCTTGGAAGCAAGAGTGACCAGTCTTCGCCTCACCTACTTTGGTCGTGTAAGAAGGAACCATTCCCTGGAAAAGGATGTCATGCTTGGTAAGGTGGAGGGTCGACGAAAGAGGGGAAGGTCCTCAATGAGATGGATTGACACAGTGCCTGCGATGATGGGCTCAAGTATAGCAAGGGTCGTGGAGCTGGCGCGGGACCAGGCAGTGCTTCGTTCTGCTGTGCATGGGGTCGCTATGAGTTGGAGATGACTCAACAGCACCTAACAACAACTTGGTCATAGGTCATAGGTTAGGTTATGTGTTTATTGAGTATCATTTCCTTTTAAGCTCTCACCAGGAGCACATTACCCATATTAAAAGATGCTCTGTGGGGTTCAAGTCTCCAACAGTCAGAAATCATTTATCTTATGAATTCAGTTGCCATTTCTCAGAGCTCTCTTATGGAGGAGAGTTACGGAGTTGCATTTTCGTAAACTTAAGCCTAATAACCATTCTTCCAGGCGCCTTGAAAGACAGGCCTGATGATCTGCTTCTGAAGGGGCACAGCCTTGAGAGTCCTGTGGGGTCGTTCTGCTCTGCACACATGGGTCGCTGTGAGTTGGAATAGACTCTATGGCAACTAATAACAGCAGCATTTTACAAAATTGCATCTTGGTGCCGAATTTGCTTGGACTCTGGTATCTGAAGAAGGAACCTACCCAAAGCTGTAGGAGAAAAGGAGTCTGGGGAGTGAGTGGGGACTCATTGCTTAGAGGCCACAGAGCTTCTGTCAAGGCTGATGGGAAACAGGACTGGATAGGGGTGATGGTTGCTCAGCGTGATGCGTGTAAGCAACATCACTGAACTGCACACTGAAAGGTGGCTCGGGTGCGAGGTGCTGGCCCAGTGTGTGCACAGTGGGGCTCTTTCTTCGTTATCTGTGCCCAAGTTCTCACACTTCAAGGAGCCCTGGCGGCTCAGTGGTCAATACTTGGCTGCTAACTGAAAGGTCCATGGTTCGAACCCACCCAGGGGCCCTGTGGGAGAAAGATACGGCACTGCTTCCATAACGATTGTTGTTGCTGTTGTTACGTGCTGTCGAGTCAGTTCTGACTCATAGTGGCCCCATGTGCAACAGAACAAAACCCTGCCCAGTCCGGCACCACCCTCCCAGGTGTTGCTGTGTGTGGGCCCATTGTTGCCGCCACCGTGTCAGTCCGTCTTGTTGAGGGTTCCTCCTCTTTTTTGCTGACGCTGTGAGGCAGTTCTGCTCCGTCCTGTAGTGTTGCCTGTGAGTTGAAATCAGCTTGACTGACAGCAATGGGATTTTTTTTTTTTTTTTAACACTCTGCCTCTTATCTTACAGGTCAACTCGTGAACACTGTCATCGTGAAACACAGGTCCCAACACCAGTATTCTTCCATTTTGGAGGCCAACCTCACCATCCACAGCATTGCCACCAGTGCGTGCCTGGTTTGTGGGTAGCTCTAGAAAGCCTTACCCCTGGCTTGTTGGCCTTTGACCTGCACGGTCCAACTGGGCCAGGAGACCAACAAACCAGCCAATGGAACAAAACACAAGTCAACACAGTAACTACTGTGATGAATTTGGGGCACATCCTACCAGCTGGTAGTAAGACTCACACACATGTATTAATATGGACCTGCTGAAAGGGTCAAGTCATCTGAAGGGTTCCTTTGTTTCTTTTTCCCTTCCCTTCCTTTCCCTCTTCTCCTTCCCTCTCTCTCTCCACTTTCCCTCCCTCCTCCTTCCCTCCCCTCCCTCCTCCCTCCTTCCTCTCTCCTCCCTCTCCCCTCCCTCCTCCTCTCCCCTCCACCCTCTCCCTCCCTCCTCCCTTTCTTCTCTCCCTCCTTTCTTCCTTCATCCGTGGAATCATAACTCTGTGTGATTCTTTCTACAACATGCTTTTCCACCGCCTGTCATAGTCCTGAGATGGATCCTTTGAACTCCCACCAGCAATGTGGAGGCACCTGCGGGCCCCGAAGCAATCACGCCATCACTGGAGGTTCTGCCCACAACTCTTTGAGGAGAAGCACTGCCCTGTATCAGGGCTCAGCAGACCACAGCCTGTGGCCTTGATGCAGCCCACTGCCTGTTTTTCTAAACAAAGTTTTATTTACCGCCACGCCCAGTGGCTTATGTGCTGCCTGTGGCTGCTTTCATGGAGTTGCGTGGTTGCAACACAAAACCCCACAAAACTGAAAATACTTACCCTCTGGCCCTTCACAGGAGAAGAGTGCTAACCCCTGGTCAGTATGATGGGATGGGAGTAATTTCTGTTTTAATTGTTGTTGTTGTTAGTCTTCATTTAATCTAAGAAGTATCACATTTAAACAATTTATATCACATAACGTATGATTAAAATTGCTAATAAACATTACTAGATTCTGTATGGTCCACCATGGTCAGCGGTCCATGGGGAGAGACAACACCATGGGTTACTGCACTGCGGACACCAACCCCAGTGACAGCACTGATGGCGACCCCATGTGTTTCAGAGCAGAATTGTGCTTCCTGGGGTTTTCAATGTCAGCTTATTTTAACTCTTCTATCTTTTTCTGTATCATTTGACTTTTCTACATGAACTCTTGTTACTGATCCAATCAGAAAATGGCAGGAAATGAATCAGTAGAATTGTGTGCGAGAAATTTAGAGCCAGTGGAGGCACATGGATATGAAACAGACCTTTTCACTGTTGTTATTGTCAGGTGCCCTCGACCCCACGGACAGCAGCATGAAACCCCGCCCGGTCCTGCCCCCGCCTCCCCGTCATTGCTGGGTGTGAGCCCGTTGTTGCAGCCGCTGTGTCAGTCCATCTCGTGGACGGACGGTCTTCCCCTTACTCACTGACCCTCCACTCGACCAGGCATGATGTGAAGAAGGATCAGTAACCGTGGAGACAAGTGTGATTCCCTGTTTCTCTTGTTCCTTTTCCTAGATGACAATGAGCTGGCCGTTTTAGTGAAGCCCGATCTTGTGTACTACGGCAGTTTGGGAGTGCTATCAAGTTACATCATCCAAGTAGGTAACAATCAAAGGAGGACCGTAACCCAGTTGGTAATGTCCCTGTTCTGGAACTTCCTGTCCTTCTGAAGTCTGGAGACCACTCTGGTTACTAAAACAGTAACAACAAGGGCAGATAGACATACTGAGCACTTAAAACGTGGTAAGCTCCTTCTGTGTCCTACCTTGTTGAATGCCCACCACAGTCTGACGACCACCATCCGTCAGTTAGTGTAGCAGCTGGCGTGTTGCTGTGAGACTGGAAGCTATGCCTCTGGTAGTTCCCATGCCAGCAGGGTCACTCACGGAAGACAGGTTTCAACAGAGCTTCCAGACTGAGACAGACTGAGAAAAAAGGCACAGAAATCAGCCGCGAAAAACCTGATGGATCACCACATCGTCCAACTCGTTTGCTTCAGACGTAGAAGGAAAAATGGCCAGAGGAGGGCATCGTGATTGTGAAGTCGAGGGCCAGGAGGGGCGAGGGCAACCCTCAATGAGATGGGTGGGCACGAGAGCCACAACAGTGGGCTGGAACTTGCTGGTGAAGGGGTGACGCAGGACTGGACGACACATGGTTCCATTGTACAGAAGGTTGCCGTGAGTGGAAGGCGACTCAGTGCCAGCTGCTCTACCTGTCTGTGTCACTAGTGTGTGCTCCAGGCCACCGAACTCGTCAGTGGCTGAGTGAGAGCGGTCTCCCAGGTCTTCTGCCTCCTGTTTTGGTGTTTTTCCCACTAGATCCACAGCCACTCTGCTTCTGAAAAGTCGCCTGGCAGTGGGCTGTGGAGGCGATGAGTGCTGTCAAGTCGGCCCACACTCACGGCAACCCCATGCATGATGGAATAAGACATTACCCGGTCCCAAGCCATTCTGACCGTCAGTTGCAGGCTGGACCATTGTGATCCAAAGGACTCTCACTGGCTGATTTTCAGAAGTTGGTCACCAGGCCTTTCCTCCTTGTCCATCTCAGTCTGCACATGCCCCTGAAGCCTGTTGAGCATCACAGCAACATGCAAGCCTCCACTGATGGACGGATGGATGGTGGCTGTGTGTGAGATGCATCGGCCGGGAAAGGATAGGGAAGTTGGCCGCAGGCCGCAGAGAACTGTCTCTTTGAAGCCTTAACCCTGACACGCTGATGCGTGTTTTCTGGGGAGAGGCTCCGTAGTCTTCACCAGACTGTCCAAAGACACCCAGGACCTGCAAACAAGTTTTTGGCTGCCGTGGAGTCAATTCCAACTCACAGCGACCCCATAGGACAGAAAACTGCTCCTGTAGAGTTTCCTAGGCTGGATGTAGGCTTTTGACTGCTAACCAGAAGGCTGGCGGTTCAAACCCACCAGCCACTCCTCAGAAGGAAGACTGGGCAACCTACTTCTGTAGAGATACTGCCTTGGAAACCTAAGGAGGAGTCACTATGAGTTGAATCGGCTCAACGGCAGTGCGTTTGGTTTGGTTGAAGCTTTTTGCCAGGTCACCCACCCTCTCATGAAGCTGCTAGGTGGGTTCAAACCTCCCACCTTTTGCTTAGCAGCCAAGTGTTTAACTGTTGTGCCACGAGGGCTCCTGGCAACCAAGTTAAGACCTATTTACCCAGCCTCCTGCCTAAAGCAAGTATGCTGTGTCTCCCCTAGTGATAGAACCACCCAGGGATGAAGGAAGCTGTGGTTAATTCACAACTGCCCCCTTCGAGAAAGATCTTCTTTAAAATTTGAAAAATGAGATAAAATTGGAATGCTCAACAAGAATTAGAATGACTTGATCTCAGCGAATCGATCATTTTTCTCTTAGCTTTCCAAGGACGACGTTTGGTCCCAAGAGGCAGCTCCGATGTTCACCCACCCGGGTGTCCTGGAAATCCTAATCCCGGTGCCTGACTTGCATTTTCCAGCCTTTGACTTCCTCAAGTGCTATATGAATGTGCAGGAGGTTCTCCTGCATCCCTACCTCCAAATCCAAGGTTGCAAAGTAAGTGGTTTCCACAATTTAGATACCCTCTCAAGGTACTCTTTTTTCCCTTCCATATATATAGATAGATAGATAGATAGAACTAGTTTTACTGAAGTAAAAGTTTACCATCTGAACATGCTTTACGTGTGCAGTTCAGTGACCTGGAGGACGTCCGTCGTGGTGTGCCCGCACCAGGACTCTCCGACTTGCTATTATTCTACACCCTTCACAGAAACCCAGTGCCATCAAGCAACATCGCTTCCTTCCTCTCTGCCTCCCTCCTCTCACCTCTGGAAGCCACCGATAAACTCTAGTCTCTAAGCATTTGCCAATTCTAGCTATTTCATATAAGTGGGATCATACAGTATTTGTCCTTTTGGGACTGACTGTTTACACTCAGCATGATGTTTTCAAGGTTCATCCATGTGGTAGCGTGTATCAGGACGTCATTTCTCTTTCTGATGGATGGGCCACTTTGTGTTTCTGCATCATCTGTTGATGGACATTTCAGTTGTGTTTACCTTTTGGCTATTGTGAATAGCACAGCAATGAACATTGAGGTATTTTTGTGCAAATAACACACTGCACATATTTTGCTGACTGTATGTGCCCTCTCCCCTGGAGGTATTTTCATAAGCAGGCTATACGGATTCTTTTTTCACCTGTTGCTGTGAGCTTATGTAAACACCGCATGGTGGGAGGGATTGGCAAACAAACATAGAAGGCTTGCTTGTTTGTGTAAAAAACATGCACAAGCTTCTTTTTGCACTGCTGCTTTCCACTGTTTTGGGAATATGTCTAGGAAAGAAGAGAAGACCACAATAGATGTCAGAAGAGACTCTGAAACTTGCTCTTGAATGGAGAGTAGCTAAAGTGAATGGAGGGAGCTCTGGTGGCATAGTGCCTAAGGCATTTGACTGTTAATCAGAAGGCTGGTGGTTCAAACCCACCAGCCACTCCTCGAAAGGAAGATTGGACAATCTACTTCTGTAGTGATACTGCCTCGGAAACCCAAGGAGGGGTCGCTATGAGTCGGGTCCAACTCGATGGCACATAACAACAACAAAGTGAATGGAAGAAACGATAAAGTAAAAAAGTAGAACAGAAGATTCCAAAGGACAGCTAGAGAAGACAAAGCAAAGAATTATAATGAAATGGGTAAAGACCTGGAAGTAGTAAGCCGAAAGGGAAGAACACACTTGGCATTTCCCAAGCTGAAAAAACTGAAGGAAAAATTCAAGCCTCAAGTTCCAACACTGAAGGATTCTACGCTCAAAATGAGGAGCTCTGGTGGTGCTGTGGTTAAAGCATTAGGCTGCTAACCAAAAGGTCAGTGGTTCAAATCCACCAGCTGCTCTGCAGGAGAAAGATGAGGCAGTCTGCTTCTTTAAAGATTTGTAGCCTTGGAAACCATATGGACAGTTCTACTCTGTCCTCTAATTCACTCTGTCTGCATTGTGAGTTGGAGTCGACTCAACTTGAGTTTAGTTTATGGGCAAAATATTGAATGACACAGGGAGTATACAAAGAAGATGATAGGAATACACAGTCATTGTACAAAAAGAATTGATATGCATTCAACGATTTCAAGAGGTAGCATATAACCAAGAACCAATGGTATTGAAGGAAGAAGTCCAAGCTACACTGAAGGCACTGGTGGAAAACAAGGTTCCGGGAATTGACAGGATACACATTGAGATGTTTCAACAAATGAATGCCATGCTGGAGGAGTTTACTCATCTATGCCAAGAAATTTAGAAGACAGCTACCTGGCCAACTGACCGGAAGAGATCCATATTTGTGCTCATTCCAAAGGCGATCAAACAGAATGTGGGAATTAATATTGTTAATACCACACACAAGTAAAATTTTGCTGGAAATAATTAAAAAATAGTTGCAGCAGTAAATTGACAGGGAACTGCCAGAAACCAAGCCAGATTCGGAAGAGGACATGGAACATGGGATGTCACTGCTGATGTTAGATGGGTCTTGGCTGAAAGGAGAGAATACCAGAAAGATGTTTACTTGTGTTTTATTGACTATGCAAAGGAATTCTACTGTGTGGATCATAACAAATTATGGATAATGTTGCAAAGAATGGGAATTCCAGAACACTTAATTGTCCTCATAAGGAATCTGTATATAAACTAGGAGTCTGTTGTTCGAACAGAATAAGGGGCTACTGCATGGTTTAAAGTCATATCCTTTCACTGTACTTATTCAATCTGCATGCTGAACAAATAATCTGAGAAGCCGGACTATATGAAGAAAATGTGGCATGAGGATCGGAGGAAGACTCCTTAACAACTTGCAACATGCAGATGACACAATCTTGCTTGCTAAAAGTGAAGATGACTTGAAGCCCTTACTAGGTCAAAGACTATAGCTTTCCCATATGGATTACACCTCAACATGAAGAAAACAAAATCCTCACAACTAGACCAATAAGCAACTTCAGCATAAATGGAGAAAACGTTGAGTTGTTAGGGACTTCATTTTACTTTGATCCACAATCAAATCCCATCAAGCATCAAGCAGCAATCAAGAAATCAAACGATGTATCACATTGGGCTGATCTGCGGCAAAAGACCTCTTTAAAGTGTTAGAAAAAAACAAGCAAAAAGATATCACTTTGAAGGCTAAGATGTGCCTGACCCAAGCCATGGTATTTTCAGTCACCTCATATGTATGTGAAAGCTGGACAGTGAATAAGGAAGACCAAAGAAGAGTTGGTGCCTTTGAATTGTGGTGTTGGTGAAGAATATTGACTATACCATGCATGGACTGCTAAAAGAATAAATCTATCTTGGGAGATTTTAATTTTCTTTATGTTGAGATGTAATCCATGCTGCAGCCTATAATCATTAATCTTCATTAGTAAGTGTTTCAAGTCATCCTCACTTTCAGCAAGTAAAGTTGTGTCGTCAGCATATCGCAGGTTGTTAATGAGCCTTCCTCCAATCCTGATGCCACATTCTTCTTCATATAATTGAGCTTCTCAGATTATGTGCTCAGCATACAGATTGAGTAAGTATGGTAAAAGGATACAACCCTGATGCACCCCCTTCTTGATTTTAAACCATGCACTGTCCCCTTATTCTATCCCAACGACAGCCTCCTGGTCTATGTACAGGTTCCTCATGAGCACAATAAAGTACTCATGGAATCCCCATTCTTCTCAATGTTATCCATAATTTGTTATGATCCACACAATTGAATGCTTTTGCCTAGTCAACAAAACACAAGTAAACATCTTTCTGGTATTCTTTGCTTTGAACCAAGATCCATCTAACATCAGCAGTGATATCCCTCGTTCCATGTCCAGCTTGCGTTTCTGGAATTTCACTGTCAGTATACTGCCGCAACCATTTTTTAATTATCTTCCGCAAGATTTTACTTGCATGTGATACTAATCTTATTGTTCAATAATTTCCAAATTCTGTGGGAGCACCTTTCTTTAGAATAGGTACAAATATGTATCTTTTCCAGTCAGTTGGCCAGGTATCTGTCTTCCAAATCTCTTGGCATAGATGAATGAATGCTGAAAATACTCACAACTGGACCAATAAGCAACACCAAAATAAATGAAGAAAAGATTGAAGTTGTTAAAGATTTCATATTACTTGGTTCCACAGTCAACACCAACAGAAGCAGCAGTCAAGACAACAGACAACGCACTGCACTGGGCAAATCAGCTGCAAAAGACCTCTTTAAAGTGCTGAAGAGTAAAGATGTCTCCTTGAAGACTAAGGTGTGTCTAACCCAGGCCACGGTATTTTCAGTTGCTTCATATGCATGTGAGAGCTGGACAATGAACAAGGAACACCAAAGAAGAGTTGATGCTTTTGAGTTGTGGTGTTGGTGAAGAATACTGAAAGTACTATGGACTGCCAGAAGAATGAACAAATCTGTCCTGGAAGAAGTGCAGCCAGAATGTTCCTTGGAGGTGAGAATGGCCAGACTTGGTCTTACCTACTTCGGTCATTCGGAATGGACAAGGGTATCGTGCTTGGTAAAGTGGAGGGTCAATGAAAAAGGGGAAGACCCTCAATGAGCTGGATTGACACAGTGGCTGCAAATATGGGTTCAGGTATATCTAGGACTGTGAGCCTGGCACAGTACTGGGCAGTATTTTGTTCTGTTGTACGTGGGGTTGCTGTGAGTCAGAGCCAACTCGCTGGCATCTAACAACAACAACAACAGTCTTCAAAGAAATACAACCAGAATGCTCCTTAGAAGCAAGATGGTGACATGTCATTTAATGTACTTTGGGCATGTTATCAAGAGGGACCAGTCCCTGGAGAAGGACATCCTAGTTGGTAAAGTAGAGGATCAGTGAACATGAGGAAGACCCTCAATAAGATGAACTAACACAGTGGCTGCAACAAGCTGAAGCATAGCCATGATTTTAAGGATGGCATGGGACCAGGCACTGCTTCATTCTATTGTACACAGATGCAGTGTAGTGTGGCTTTTCTAGCCATAGTCTTCGTGAACTCCATGGTGGAATTTGCCATGAGCAACTAAGTAGCTCCTGATTGTTAAAGTTATCCACCTGGGTATTTCTGTTGAGCTCACCATGAAGCAATTTTCTGGGAAGTTCACACTCTCTCAGGTGTGTGGAATTCTGGTGTTGGGATTGATTGGTTTTTCCACTCTGCCAGGCTTAAAGTGAGCCTTCCTAGAGGCAGGGAGGAGGAATATCTCTCACTGCCGGCTGAGGGACACACTGCTGAGAGAGAGACACTTGCTGAAAGAGAGAGACATGAGAGACACGTGGTGCTGAGAGAGAGATGTGAGAGACTCACACTGCTGAGAGAGAGATGTGCTACTGAGAGAGACTGCTGGCTGCTGAGTGAGATGGCCAGCTCCAGGAGACTGAGCGTGCTCCTGAACTTGAATTGTAGCCCATTTCTTCCCTAATAAACCCCATAATCTGCGAGTTCTGTGTGGCCACTGTAGTGAATTATCAAACCCAGCAGAGAGGTGTAGATGCCACAGGAGGAACAGTTGGTGACAGGGTTGGTGAAAGGGCTGGAGGGATGCAGCATGTCTGACCTCACAGGAATAGGCCTTGGTTGCTGATTGTGATCCTGTCTTCCTCTTGTGTGGTTAGAGCAGGTCAGAAGATGCCACCTTCTTGCCTTCTTGGCAATAAGGTTGCTGTGAATCAGAACCAACTTGATGGCAACTAACAACAACCACACCCTAGGAGTGGGGTTGCTGGGCCACATGGTAGTTATATGTTTAAATTTACTGTTTTTGTTGTTGTTGTTAAGAGTACTTTTGTAGCCAGTAACCACACATGAAGAAAACTTCATGGAGCAGCTCTCATGTGCTAACCGAATGATTGGCACTTTGAACCTCCCCCCCACCCCCCAGCAGCTCCTTGGAAAAAAGACCTGGCCATCTGTTCCTATAAAGATTATAGCCATGAAAACCTTTGGGACAGTTCTTTTCTGACGCTTGGGGTTGCTATGATTTGGAATCGACTTGACAGCGTCTGACAACAACCATCACCACCACCACCCATGGGAGATTCAATAGGGATGCCAGGTAAACTACAGGATGCCACTTCGACAGATGAGTGGATAAACAAAATGTGGTCCATCCATACGGTGGAATCTTTATGTAGCCACAAAAGGGCATGAAGTCCTGATACATGCAATGACATGCAGAGTGAGAGAAGCCAGGCATAAAGGACATACAGTGTCTGAGTCCACTTGAGTGTAATCTCTAAATGAGGCAAATGCATGGAGACAGAAAGCAGTCAGAGGCGAGGAGGAGCTGGGGGAAGGGAAGTGGGAGCTATTACTCCTGAGTACAGTTTCTCTCTGTGATGAAGAAAGTGTGGAAATAGATAGTGGTAATGGTTGTACACCATGGGGAAGGTAATGACTGTCACTGAGTTATACACTTAAAAATAGTTGAAAATGGCAACTTTATGTTATATTTTACCACAATAAAATGATACATATCTGTATATATGATGCCTAGTTAAATTAGAATTTCAGATAAATAATTAATACTTATTATTACAAGTGTCACATGCAATATCTTGGACACACTGTATTTTTATTTGCTAAATCTGACAGCCGTAAACTCCAAGCCACCAGCAGCCTCAAAGGATCCCTTTCTCACCTCGCATGCCTTCGTGCCTCTTATTTTAAAAAGAAATAAAAGAATTGCGACAAGTGTCACACAAAATAGGATGTATATACTGGGGGACACCAGACTCAATTGGCACAACAAAATATGTAAAAATCTTATTCCTCATCCTACATTGGTGAGTAGCGACTGGGGTCTTAAAAGCTTTCAAGTGGCCATCTAAGACACAGCTAATGGTTTCCTATCATCGGAAACAAAGAAGAGTTCAAAAAAACAAGGATATTTGGAAGCAATCAGCCCTATTACATGATGGACCTTGAGACCAGAAGAACCAGATGGTGCCCGGCTACCAATGCCAACCACTCAGGAAAGGATCAAAACTGGAGATCCTGGATAGGGTGGGAGGAAAAATGTGGAACAAAATCCAGAAGCACAATAATGACCAGAATTGCTGGTCGGCGAATCCTCTGGGCCTCATATCCTCACACCACAGTGTTCTGGGGAGAGAGACAATCTCTTGTGATAGGCCCTGCAGAAGCCCAGAGAAGTTCCACCAAATGCCTCTCATATCTCATTGGCTCTGAGAGGATGAAATGGCCATTCTGGAGCCAATCTCCATGGCTGCAAATAAGCCAAATAGGACCCACAACTTGAGGTAAGAGCGGAGTCAATCCTGCTAGGCCACATGCCAAAGGATGAGCAAAGAGGGTAGTTTCCCAACGGATACTCTGGATACTGTCAGGAATGATGGCTTAGTTATCTGTTGCTGTTGTTGTTGTTATGTGCCATCGAGTCGGACCCAACTCATAGCGACCCCTCCTTGGGTTTCTGAGGCGGTATCACTACAAAAGTAGATTGCCCCACCTTCCTTCCAAGGAGTGGCTGGTGGGTTTGAACCGCCAGCCTTCTGGTTAGCAGTCAAGTGCCTTAGGCACTATGCTATCAGAGCTCCTATGCTGCTATAACAGAAACACCACACATGAGTGGCTTTAACACACAGAAATGTATTTTCTCAAAGTTTAGGAGACTGCTGTATTCGTTAGGTGCCATTGAGTTGGTTCCAACTCACAGTGACCCCATGTACAACAGAATGAAACACTGCCTGGTCCTGTGCCATCCTCACAATTGTTGCTATGCTTGTGCCCATGATTGCAGCCACTGTGTTGATCCATCTCATTGAGGGTCTTCCCCATTTTTGCTGACCCTCCACTTTACCAAGCAGGATGCTCTTCACCAGGAACTGGTCCCTCCTGATCACATGACCAAAGTATGTGAGATGAAGTATCACCATCCTCCCTTCTAAGGTGCATCCTCTCTCTACTTCTTCCAACACAGATTTGTTCATTCTGCTGGCAGTCCATGGATTACCAACCTCATAATTTGAAGGCATCAGTTCTTCTTTGGTCTTCCTTATTCATTGTCTAGTTTTTGTATACATATGAGGTGATTGAAAATACCATGGCTTGGGTCAGGTGAACCTTTGTCCTCAAAGTGGCATCTTAGTTAGAAGACCAGAAGTCTGAATTCATGGCACCAGCTCTAGAGGAAAGCTCCTTCTCTGTCGGCTTCTGCTCCTTGGCTCCTTGGTGATCTTCACATGGTATGGCATCTATCTTTCCCTATCTCTGCTTGCTTTCCCTGCTCTTTCATACAGTAAAACCTGAGAAAGCTAGAATTTGTGTAAGGTAAAACCCTGTCTGAGAAGAAAACAAATTTTTCCACTAAAACGAACAATGGAAAAGTAGTAAGACTGCACCCTGTCAGAAGAGGGAATTTTGTGGAACCCAGAAAAAGAAGGCAGATCCCTTGAGCTCCAGCTCTCCTAGGCTTCACTGTATCTCCAAAGGTTGCAAGCAGCCATCCAAGAAGCAACTATTGGTCTCTCCTCGTCTGGAACAAAGAAGAGTGATGAAAATCAAAGATGGATGGAAAGAATTAGTCCATAGGACTAATGGACCATGAGAACCTCAGCTGTATGACCCTGAGACCAGAAGAACTAGATGGTGCCCAGCTACCAATGCCAACCACGCAGAAAGGGATCAAAGCTGGAGATCCTGGATAGAGAGGGAGAAGAAATGTGCAACAACAACAACAACAAAAGAACACATTAAAAAGACCAGGATTAGTGGTCAGACAGAGACTAGTTAAACCCCCAAGACTATGGCCCTTAGTCACCCTTTGAGCCTGGAATTGAACTCACTCCTGTGACTTAGCTCCCAACCAAACAATAGATAGGCCTACAAGGTGACATCTACACTAGGGAGATGCATTCCTTAGAATAATCAACCCTAGGAGATCAGAAGGGCAGCATTTGCATAGGGAGAAAGGTAAGGAGGCAAGAATGCATAGGTGGGAAGGACACAGGGAAAGCATGACCACAGGTAGAAAGTGGGAAGAGAGCTGTTACATTGTGGGGATTGTAATCAATGTCAGAAAACAAAATGTATATGAACTGTTAAACGTAAAACAAATCTACTTTGTAAAATTTCACCCAAATCACAATAGTTGTATTAAAGAAAAAAAAAGACAGCATTGACTGAAGATAAACCTTACACTAATCCTACCTCATTAGCAGAACAGAGACAATCCTTTCCCAAATGGGATTATAACCACAGGCATAGCGGTGAGGATTGAAAACACATATTTTTGAGGGGCACACAATTCAATCTAACAAATGGATTAGTGGATATAGGCTTTGAGTGTCAATGGCTGCAAAAAAGAAAGTCAAGAAAGGAAGGTGGCTGGGTGGGGTGTGCATTTGACCCCTTGAGAAAAGATCACAGTCCCCTTGAGTCTTTACAACACTGTCAAGACCTGAGTGTGACCCAGCCTTCCATCTGCTAGAAGTGTGGAAGACACGGGACCGTGTTCTGCTGCACCGGAAGTTTTCCAAACAGGGGCCAACTTGACAAGTCAAATGACCTAAGGTCTTCAAAGAGAAATTGAAAGATAAAGAAAGCAATTGGCAGGAGGGAAAGGAACCTCGAGATGAAAAGAAATTTAAGACTTATGATTTTTTGAGAATGGACAAGACTAAATAATACTGTCTTGATATGTGCACTTGGGTGCGAACGCTATGGAGAAACACAAGGAAGCGACGGCTGTAAGAATCAGGGGCTGGGTGCTTCTGGTGGCAGGGAGGGGCTGTGGTGGGGCGGGCCTGCAGGGTCTCCTGTGGATGCGGAGTCCAGCAGAAAGGACAACCTAGCGAGTAAAAAGGGAAAGAACCAATAAGACTGGACGTTTCCAGCCCTGGGCACCGCCTCAAACTTCTCACTTACCTGTCTTTTTCTTGGGAACAGGGGATTGACTTTCTGCATTTCTCACCAGGTAGAACTTCTCCAGGGGTATTTTCAAAAGAGTGTACTTACCCTTGATATGAACAGTGACTTGCAGTTGAGAGCTGTGATGATACCCCAGCTGCACAAGTCACCAATTCCACTCGTGAGTATGTCTTTTTATTTTGTTGCGTTTTGGTAAGAAATACATAACAGAATACCTTACCCTCATATTCTTTCTCTATGTATTCACCTATTCTGTTTAAGTGTGTGAACTATTCACAGTGCAGTGCAGTTGTCACCCTTTCCAAAACCCTTCCATCACCCCAAACAGAAATTCTGTGCCCTCCTTCGCACCGCCCCTTTGTTGTTAGTTCCTGTGGAGCTGGCTCCAGCTCAACTCACGGTGACCCCATGTACAACAGAATCCCACGCAGAACAGAACCCTGTGTGGAACTGAACTCTATGAACAACGGAAAGGAACAGTCCCAGTCCTGCGTCATCCTCACGGGCAAAGCTACGCCTAAGCCCATCGTTACAGCCACTGTGTCAGTCATTGAGGGCCTTCCTCTCTTTCCCTGACCCTCCACCCAGCATGGTAACCATCTCTAGAGATCGGGCCCTCTGACAACATGACCAAAGTGTAAGACAAAGTCTGGCCGTTCTTGTTTCTAAGGAGCATTCTGGCTTCACTTTTTTTTTTTTTTTTTTTAATTTATTGTTATTTGGGTGAAAATTTACAGAGCAAATACACTTTCCATACAACAGTTCACATATGCTTTGTCTCACAACACTGACCACAATTTACCACAATCCAACATCTCCCCTCCTACTACCTCCTGATAGTTACCTCTTCCCTGTGTCCATCCCTCCATGCACTCCTTCCCCCTGAGCTGTCTCCCTGTGCATAAGCAGCCCTTCTTTCTCCCATGATTGTTTTCTCCAAGGAGTGTATCTACCTCAGGTAAATGTTCAACTCA